CACCTGTAGTCCCAGCTACTCGGGAGGCTGAAGTAGGAGAATAGCAGGAACCCAGGAGGCGGAGCTTACAGTGAGCTGAGACGGGGCCAATGCACTCCAGCCTGGGTGACAGAGTGAGACTCTGTCTCAAAAAAAAAATTTAAAAGAAGAAAGAAAGAAAATCTGGTTTCTCCAGCAGAAAAAAAGTCCACCTGCCGAATAAAGCCAAGGCTCTCTGTCAGGTGCACTCTCACTAGGAGCCTGGTTCTGTGGTGCCATTCCATCTACAAGTCCCTGGCCACCCGCATGACTCACCTCCAAGTCCTTCTCAAGCTCCAGTCCAGCCTCCATCAGATTGTGCTCAAATTCCTCCCGCTGCTCCTTCCTCTCCTCCTCCAGGGCATCGAGCGGCCCCAGCTCAATGTCACCTGGGCCCCCAGCATGAGGCTCCTTGCCTGTCTCCCCATTGGAGACGATAGCCAGCGAGTGGCCAGGGAAGCCTTGGGCCAGGTGCATCCCACGTTTCCGGTAGTGGTAGGCGAGCACATAGTCGACCTTCCTCTGATTGTCATGGAAGTGCATGCGGCTAAGACGGGCTTCCAAGGACACAGGCTCATTGGCATCCAGATAGTTGTTGATGACCTGGCCAGAGAGAGAGGAGAGGCAGGGCAAGGTCTGGTGAGTAAGGGCTGAGAGCAGAGGAGGCTGATCTATGCTCTGGGCTCAGGGAAATGGACTCAGAAGCAAGCCCCTCAGGCCCAGAGGCCCCCAGTGCCTCCAGTAAAAGGACCAAATGGCCTAAGTTAATCTGTCATGCCAGCTTGCAAAGCCCTCCACCCACCTGTTGACAGTCTGGGCACTGGTGCCTTCACACATGCTCCAGCATCCATGCACACACACACACTCACACACAGACTGTACCTGCAGCAGCAAACCCCTCACAACCGCACCTCCTGCCTCCACACAGAGCCACACGCCCACGCCTGCACACACACATGCAAGCACCTGCAAATGCACACACAGCCACCTCTACCCTTGTCTCCCTGCACCAGCACGCCTGCACCATACAGGTGAAGGGGCCTGTGTACACATGTATCTACCCGAGTGCGCTCTAACACACACACCCCCTTCCACAGGCACCATGGCCCACACACACTCACCTCCTTGCAGATCTGCACCACTGCCTGCTAATACTCTACATATTTAAACACAGAATACTCACAGGCAGGTTCTCTGGATCCATTGGAACAAAGACCAATTTCTAGTCACCTGGCCTGCCCCCTACCCTCCCACCCACGGGAATTCACCAGGCACTATTCACAGCCCCACATCCTCCTCTCCCGCCACTGGTGAGGACCCTGTCAAAGACAGCAGCAGGGAACTGACTTCTGCTCTCTTCCACGCCAGAGGTGGGGAGGTGGAAAGAGGAGGAGGAGAGAGAACACGGTGAAGCAGGGGAGGGACCGGCCTCTCCCCGTGGGTGTTTCCCTGTTTATTACTGGTTTGAAACCCAACTGCCTCTGCAGCCACCTGAGAGGTCACCTGGGCAACCAGATGAAGCTCCAGGCACAAGGGAGAGACTCAGAGCCACCATAGCAGAGAAGGCTCAGGCTTGCAGAAGGGGACCCAGGGGGTCTACAGACCAACTGGCGGCATCAACTGGCCTCCCGTGCCTTCTCCTTTCCCGACCCTCCTCTGACCAGAACAGGGCACTGGGAAAGTGTGCCTGACTTGGAGATAGAAGAGAAAAGGCCCTACCCAAACCCTAGGCCTCTCTCTTTCACTCACACATGTGCTCCCAACTGGAGAATGCCCTGGTCCAGAGGCTCCTTGGCGGCCTCAAACAGGGCCGGCCTGTCCCCTGACCCCACCCCTGCCCAGTACTCACAGAGCTGCTGCGGGCACTCTCTCCGCCGCGGGGCTGGCCAGGATCTCGGCTGGAACTGCCCTGCAGACCTGGGGCCCGGGGACCTGGCGTCTGGAGATACTGCTGTCCGTGTTTGGGGCCCTGGCCCCCTCTGGTCCCTGCCTGAGGGCTCAGCCGGCGTGGGGAGCCAGGGAGCAGGGGAATATCTGTGAGAGGGAAAGACAAGGGAGGCAAAACAGCCTCAGACGAAGGAAACCCAAGACACTGAGGTACTGAGTGTGCTCACACTAGCCCTGAGAAAATGGCCCCTTTTGCTTCACAGCTGCCTCCTTGGTTAGTCCCTACAGCCCAGGTTCACACTGGCCACAGGGGAGGGAGCATGGAGAAGGAAGTGCAGCCCCCAGAATGCATACACACACACACTCACACAATGTACACACTCACACAATGTACACACTCACACACTATGTACACACTCACATACAATGTACACACACAATGCACACACTCACACAATGTACACACACACACTCACACTATGTACACACACACAATGTACACACAGTATGTACACACTCACAATGTACACACTCACACACTCACACTATGTACACACACACTATGTACACACTCACACACTATGTACACACACACTATGTACACACACAATGTACACACACTATGTACACACTCACATACACACAATGTACACACTCACTCACACTATGTACACACACACTCAATGTACACACACACTATATACACACTCACATACAATGTGCACACACACAATGCACACACACACATACACTATGTACACACTCACATACATACACACACACACATACTATGTACACACTCACATACACATACACACACATACACATACACTCACACACAATGTACACACACACTATGTACACACTCACATACACACATACACACACATACACATACACAAATGTACACACACACACAATGTACAATGTATACACTCACATACACACACACACACAGTATGTACACACACACAAATGTACACACACACTATGTACACACACACACTACATACATACACACATACACACACATATACACTCACACACACTACACACACACAAATGTACACTCACACTATGTACACACACACTACATACACACACATACACATACACTCACACACACACTACACACTCACACAATGTACACACTCATACACACATACACATACACACACATACTATGTACACACACATATACACACTATGTACACACACATACACTCACACATACACATACACACATACATATACACACTGTACACACTCACATACACATACACTATGTACACACACATACACACACATATACACATACTCACAATGTACACACACTATGCACACACATACACTCACACACATACATACACACATATACACACACACACATACATACACACACATATACACACACACAGCCATATACACATACACACACACACACACACACACACACAGAGCCTGGAGCCACCAGCAGGAGCTCCTTCGGATCAAGGTTGTCACAATCTCTCATAATCCCCAGACAAGAAAGGGGTGGCATCGAGCAAGCCGGGGGGGGGCGGGGGGGGCACTGCCTGGAGAGACACCTTGAATTAATACCAAAGGCTTAGGCTTTGGGCCTCTCCTTTGGCGGCAGCACCAGCCGGCACCCTGGCCAGCCCCCACCTCCCTCGGGGAGAGAGCAAGGACAGACCAAGAGGGCCCTCTGAACAACGGAACAAAGGACTGTCCTTCAGTGTCCTTTCCGGGCCCTCATACACCTGCTGCCTCTACCCAGGCCCCAGAGGTCTGCAGTCCCTTCTCAGCAGGAATGCAGGACCACTTCAGAAAAAATCCAGTGTCGCCCCCTTAAGGGAATGGTCCCCAGTAGGTGATGGAATGACCGCATGTTAGAATTGGAGGGAACTGAGGATCAGATACTCCAGCTGCACTTTGCACAGACCCCACTGGAACCGGTGAGTTGCCAAGGTCTCAGGGCAGGTGAGACTCAATCTATCCTCTCCTCTGAGAAACACTTCCTAGCAAAGCAGCACGGCCAGTGCCAAGGCTGAAACCTCAGCTCTGCCACTGGCCAGCTCTATGACCTCTTTGTGCCTGATCTCCAGCTGTAAAATGAGAATCTCACACTTGCAGGATTGCAGTGAGAATGAGAACAAGAGATAAGGCCTGCAAAGCATCCAGAGTGGTGATGAGCCTGAGGGCACGTGATCAAAGGCTGTGATTAGAATCGTCAGTGTTTGCATTTTAACCTCCAAGTGAGCAGAAGTAACACCTTATGCCTCCAACTCAGTCCTAAGCACCTGCTCAGTGAATGAACGAACAAAAGGCAACTCTTCTGATCTGTTGAAATAGAACTCCTGGCCCTTTGCCAACTTATGGAGCAGTCCCTTAGGTGATCAGCCCTCCAACAGTTTCAGGGGGCCTAGAATATTCGGTCCCTGCACTTGAGAAACATAATCTCTTTATGAAGATAGAGCTGACATGCAGGAAACACAGTTGTGACCAGCAGAGGAACGCTTTCATCGTTCCTTTCTATACTGTGGGCTCTAGTCCACACTGTGGGAGACCAGAAAGACTAGAAGTCAAAGCCGGCTTCTGGGGTAATTGAGCCGGAGCTGGGTCCTGGAGGGTGGGTAGCTTCTGAACGGCCGGGAGGCAGGGGAGGCACTCCCTAGGGAGACAGCACAGAAGGGCAGGCGTGGGCATGCCTTGTGGGAGGAAAACGAACACTCAGGACCCCGTATCACTCTGCCGAAAGGAAAATATTAAGCTGAAAGCTGAGTCAGGCAAGACGCTGCCTTTCCTTTTGTTCCTAAGCAGACAGCTGTAGATAAAAGGCTAGATAGCTCCACAGGCAGCTACTCTATACTCACCTTGTCCAAAGCGCAAGACGAATACATCATCATCAATTCCCTAACTGCTCCTTTTCTCTTGCAACACGCAGATTCCCCCAGACTCCTCCTTTTCCCCCGCAGCCTGCTCTTCCCTATTAAATCCTGAAGCCCTCAAAATTGTCTTTGGAGAAAGACACAGACCTCTCTCCCAACCACATCCTTAATGTTGGCAAAATAAACTAAATGGATTGAAGCCTGTGTCAGATATTTTTTGGTTTACATGTGATGGGGATCAGGCTCAGGGCTCTAAAACAGGGGCTTCCTCCCTTGTGCTCCATCTTGCCTCCTCCCACTTCCCTTGTGTCTTTCTGCATACCTGCGCCCCCAAGTGCCTGAGAACAGAACTTGGAACCGAAGGACTCTACCCCAGAGAAGACCTCGAAACCTCTAGATGCATGTTTAAAAAGCTCAAAACCACTGGATACGTCATGGGGGAAATGATAAAGATGATGTTCACTCAAGGGCCACCCTGCCCTGGCAGCTACATTCAAATTTGCACCCGTGGCTCAGAGTAGCTCATATTCAAGGGCAATACAAAGCTTTGGTCCAGCTGCTGCCCAGGAACCACCATCCCCTAAAGATGCCACCTGGAGTTTGAGGCTGACATTCAGGGCCCTCACTAGCCATCGCAGTCGCTCCCCCAGCTCGCTCTCTGACACGCAGATCTGGCCGCCTGGGGACTCTGCTTCCCTTCCCTCCCTCTCCCCGCAAGTGATTAGAGCACAGCACACGGTTCAGCCACCCCAGCTGTCCCAGCTCGGGAGAGGCACTCCAGGCAATAAAGACACAAGGGAGCCAGCTTCAGACGTGAGAGGAAAGCCAAGGGGAACGTGAGTGACGCCTGCCCTCAGGAAGGGTGGGGCAGGTAAGCATACACCTCGAGAACTCCCTAAGCAGCTTAGAAGAGGTGAATGAGGTCAATGAGAAGGAAAGGCCATCGTACACAGCCTGTGGAACATGTCACCCATTTGGGAAGAATCTTTCCTTCCATCACCATTGCCTTGGCTCTCCTTCCACGCTGCCTTGAACAACAGATCCTTGGGTGTTCGTGACCGCAGTGCCATGAGGGTGGGGGCATGGCTTACCCATGTCTGGATTGAGGAGATGGATGTTCCAAGGCTGGGGCCTGGGCCTTTCTCCACGTGCCAGCTCTCTCCCTGGGCACTCTCAATCACTCCACAGACCTTCATTGTCACCTATTGCTGACAACATCTGCAGGCACCAGGTCCACACATTCCCCTGCCTGCTCAGCGTCTACACTTGGATGTTTCCCAGCCCCTCAAAGTCAACATGTCCAAATCCAAACATATGATCTTCAAAACAGGATTCTTTTTCAGCATTTCCTGCTCCTGCAAATGCTCCACCAAACATTCAGTCGACATGCCGGAAATCTAGAAGCAGTCTTGATAGTCATTCTTCCTCATGACCCATATCCAATTTGATATCAATCCTATAAACTTTACCCCTGAAATATCTGCCAAACCCCTCTGTTCTTCACCCCTCTATAGTCCCACCCTGGTCCCACCCTAGTGCCAGCTCTCAGTCTCCTTCACCATTAGGAGGATGGTGATGCCCTCCTAACAGGTCTCCCTGCTCCCTGTCCCTGTCCCCCACGAGGCAGCCAGGGGTCCTTACAAAACATCCATCTGGCCATGACACCCTCAAGAGCAGAAACTTATGGGGCTCCCATGGCTTTCCGGCTGGGACCCTGCATACTGCCCCCCCAGTCTCCACCCCCTCGCTCCTGCTGGCTCCCTGGGGTCCGCCATACAGCTCTGCTCTAGCACACCATGCTCCCCAGCCCAGCATCCTACATGCATTCTTCCCTCTGCCTGGACCATTCTTCCCTACACACTCCTCAACTAGTTGTGGGTCACCTTTATTTTTTTATTTTTATTTTTTTTTTTGAGACGGAGTCTCGCTCTGTCACCCAGGCTGGAGTGCAGTGGCGAGATCTCTGCTTACTGCAAGCTCCGCCTCCTGGGTTCATGCCATTCTCCTGCCTCAGTCTTCAGAGTAGCTGGGACTACAGGCACCCGCCACAACGCTTGGCTAATTTTTTTTTTTTTTTTTTTTTTTTTTTTTTAGTAGAGACGGGGTTTCACTGTGTTAGCCAGGATGGTCCCGATTGCCTGACCTCGTGATCCGCCCGCTTCGGTCTCCCAAAGTGCTTGGATTACAGGCGTGAGCCACTGCGCCCAGCTGGGCCACCTACTATTTTGGTCCTTAGGGACCCAGAAAATCCAAAGCAAT